AATTACGTCCACTTTAGAGATGGCTCAAACGCAGTCACACCGAGACCAAACTGGCCAGTAAATCCTAAAGCGGATGTTCCACTCTCGACAACTCCCCCATTAAACGAAACAGACTACAACGCTATAAACTTCTCGCTGTGGAAACAACTTGGCAGACAGGTTCTTGTCAAAAGCAACATAAACAACTGGTTGAGATGTGATCCAGGAACCGGAAGTTTAGTGGACTGGAAGAGCGGAGATGTAAAATGTCAAATCGTCAGACGGGTGACTGATGTATGCAGGAATAAACAGGCTCCTTCCAGCTTTGCTTCGAATCAGTATGGACCGATGTTTAAGACGACGGAAAGCATGTATTATTATTATGACGGTTACAAGGCATGATCCTTGTGGAGAAAACAAGGGAAATCACGTGAAAAACGTGGGTAATCCACATGGGAACATTTTCATTCGAAACCCTAACAGCTATGCTGCAGGTGCAAACGGTTCTTAAACTATACAAACTACAGACGTATTCACCTGCAATCTAAATCAAATAGAAAATGTTACATATACACCGCGACGACCAAAAATAATTTGAAAAAAGGTAGAAAACGAGTTACTGAAAAGTGAATATTGTTGAGATTCCTTACGTATTGGTTTTGTTATTTTATCGCGAAGGAAAATTGAAAAAAAAAAAAAAAAAGAATAAAAAAATAAACAGAACTGAGATATACTTATTTTTACATGATTATTGTATTGCAAAACAGCCATTTTATTCAAAATGAGTAGCATACATCGAACTAATAATGGTTGATATTAAGGAGTTGACTTTTCTTTTTCAAAAAAATATAATAAATAGTTCAAATAGTACTGGTTAATTTACTCAGGTTCTCACAGTTAAATTAATATAGTAATTAATTAATCAATTAGAAATTCTTATCCTGTTTCACAGTCACTGTTTCTATGTAGATCTCTGTTGTACTCGTGCGTGACCCGACTGCGGGAAAGTTAACGAATTGCAGAGAATTATTGGTCACCTTAAACGTTGAAAAGTACAAGTTCTTGTCAGGGGGATTTTACTGTAAATATCGACAAGGCCATGATTTCTCTATCAGCGGTAACTAAGTTCAAATTAAAGAGTAACAGAACTACATTCAAATGCACTTCATTGAAGAACATATGATAATTAGTACTAAGCTCTCTCTTATTTTGAGCGCTCACTCCCTCACTGAGGGGGTGAATAGGTTTCGGATCGACGGATTTGACCTTAAAAAGCGCACAGATTATGGATTTTTGCGGTAAATTGAGCGGATTCGCGGGTTTTGAATACACTGTGGATCTTGGATCAGATGTGCATTTTGGCGCGGATTCCGGATTTTGCCCGTCTTGATGTTCGGATCTTGGGACCTAAACGAAATTTAGATCATAGATCGATCTTTCTTCAGCCTTGGTCGGTATGATAATGTGGTCATTCAAATTATTTTTCCGAACGAAGCTGATTTAAACTCAGGTGTGAGACTGTTATTGGAATTGTACTGTGTTATAGTCATCAAGCATGCATGTTGCCTTCTTTATTATTCGAGCGAAATTAACAATGTCATTCACATTTACCAGTTTACCTTTGAACTTTTACACTTCTGTTTCCGGATGTGGTTGTGGTTTTGGAATTAGAACAAAAATATTGGCGATCGACGGATTTGGCAGAAAAAAAGGCACGGATCGGCGGATTTGCATACCCCTATTCACCCCCCTCCTCTTTGAGTGTTAATTCTTATATCAGAGAATTTTTGCTGAAGTAAAACCAAACCCGCTAACATGTCAAGTCAGTTCTTACACTTGCAGACGCTTGTCTTAATATTCTTCGATTTAGGACGTGTTTATTCTCTCTCGAGATTTCATCTTCCAAACCTAAGGTTCCAAGTGGCTAGCTCTGACATGGATAGTGATGGAAAGAAAAAAAAATAGTTCGAGGAGCTCGAGAAGATATTCTTTGCTTTGAATTTTGAATCTTGGTTTTCCTTGGTATTTCTCTGCAAGAGTGTATTAATTGCACCTAATTTTCGCGCCATCTTAGTTTTAATTCATATAGGAAAGGCAAACGAAAAACGAAAATGAGCTAATATTGGTGAAAAAATTCTGTAGTGAGGTGTAGTTTCTATTCAGTACTAATCACTAAACGTCACGCAACACTTCGCCATCTGTAATCGTTTATTTATATCCCTAATTTATTTACACAAGCCTGATTAATGAAGTGTAAAATTTCGGCTTTTGGTGAATATTGATGGGAAACGAAAGTTCAATGAAACTATTGCTTTGTGCAATCATGGTAAAATACTGAAGAGAGATAATTTTCCATCGTTTGCTCTGTGGAGTCACTTATATAATATAGGATTAGAAGAAACTATAGTGCATTCTGTTATTTCCTAAGCTACGCCTCAAGTGATTTCAACTTTCAGATTGTTTCAATCACGGCGTTTTGTCGATGAAGTGTAACTTTCGAAACTGCTTGCCTCCCGTAACTGCAATTAGATGGAGCTGGATTTGTCTCCCCAAAACGAACATCTTGTACCGATCGACTGGGACTTACAACTCCATAGCTCTTTAGCTTTGCAATTGGTGGACCATCGGTTACTTCAAACCCGCAGTGTGGAAGTTGGAGTGATAGGCTGTCCGGTCGGATAGCCTCTGTTGCTCTGACTGCAGGACTCTCAGGTGATGGTATGACAAAGTACATCCCGTATTTTTTTACGACATCATGTGCCACCGTTTGAATGCGAGCATCAAACCTTTTGATCTTTGCGTTCTGAAATGACTTGTCTACATTCTCTTTGGCGTTTTGCTTTGCACACTCTTTCGCCATAGTGTGAAACTCTTTTAATGCCGCCTCGGCCTCTATATATCGGTAGTATTCCAAACTCGGCATTTTAAGTTCCTTTCTTTTTCGAAGGCATCGACGAATGCAGACAAAGGTGAAGAGAATGCACATTGCCATCAGCATCAGAGACCAGCCTGTTATTTGACTACGCGATTTGTAACTTTCTTCGAGCTCCCTTGAGCGGAAGCCCAGTGTAACATGGCATTTATCAGTTGTATTACCCACTGTGTCCTCGCTGTCGAGAGGAGGACCGAAATAAGCGCACGTGTAATACTGCTGTTGTAGAAATGATATCACTAGCCAAGCCAACGGGGCAATACCTGCGTTTACGAAAATATACGGTGTAGCTAAGAATGCTTTCAGATACCGACGGCCTGGTGATTGTGTCATGTTTTTCTTCTTGATTCTTCCCAGTTTCCACAAGTCTCTGTCCACCAGGATCCCGGCGAGAAACAACAGCAAAGCCGGAGCCCAGAGAAATGCCAATCCATAAGGGAGGTGTCCTTCACACGGGCAGTTGAACACAACGCTTTCGATCAGCTCTTCTAAGCCTATTGTCAAAACTGCCATGGATCCATACAACAAGGATCGCTTGGTGTTTCTGAATAACACTGCTGCGCTTGAAAGTAAGGTGTCCATGTTCCCACGGCTGATCACCAAACTTATAATAAAAATACGAACGACGGGAGCTTATATATATAAAGGATGAGGGAGGATGCATATCGCAACGGAAGTATATTTTGGGTCGCGATAGTAGGGGCTTTTTTACGGAGTAAAACGGACCGGAAATAAACATCAAAAAAGGAAGCTCCGAGGAAAACAACAATATTTTGATTATGTATAACAAAGCAAATATAAAAAAAAAAAAAAAAAAAAAAAAACGATCTGAGTTTGAAGTGGATAATTAATTTATACCAGATATCGGAGGCGAATCGTAAAGACCTACTATGCACTGCAAGCCAAACTATGAAACGTTCAGTGAATCATTATGCATCATCAAATTCCTTATGAAAATTTTACATGCTTTACTCCTCGACGCATCTCAGTATAAATTAACCGCAGTGGAAAATACGATTTGTAAATCGAGATGGGGTGAGAAATATTAGATAATCAGTTAGGACTTATATGCTGATTAACCGTTTAAACAACCTCGAAAAACAAGGGCTGCTTTCAGTTTCTAAATGGACATCCATGCCCAATTCACCCAATTTTGGGGGATTTTATTTAATGTAGTTGAAGAATTGACTCACAGGAAGTCGATTCGTGCGTTATCAATTAACCTTCACCGTTCTTTAAGCTTGAAAGGGGGTAAACTACCGGAAGTCGAGTGGCATAGACAGTAACAACATGAAGCTTTGTCGCTCTTAAGAAGAGAGTGGAACAAGTGGTATTAAATGTCGACGAGTCGACACGATTCGCAATGGTCCACTCGACTCGTCACTTTTGTGCTAAGTCGATCCGTCTCACCGGAAGTCGAATCACGCCAGGGTTAAAGGGTCGATACGACTCGCCACATTCGATCCCTTCTCTGCTGAATTACTTCATAACGAATATTTTATCGGTACGGTCTTGAAGCCATGGAGGAAATTGTGAATAGTAAGAACCAGAAAATCGTGTTCTCGGTTGAGAGTATTTTTGGTTTCGTACCGCGTGCTGGTAGATGAAGTATCGAGCATAAGTTTCGATATAATAAAGTGACGAAGCCTCAAACGAACTCACGCGTAGCATTCAAACCCACTAACTTTTGACATTTCGTCAGGAATCAATGCCGAGCAGCATTAGAAACTGCGCTATCGCTCTTTATATTTGCAGAAGTTAAGAATACAAACTGCAAACTGGGGAAATAAACGAGGAGTAATTATTGGTGCAGTAATACCCGATTAACGAAGCCGAGACGCTGTGTTACATTGAATTGAAGTCGTGATTTGAACTACTATAAATACTTTTTTTATGCAAATATGGAGTCACATCTCTGTGTCACTTGTGGATTTTGGTAATAATTACAATACAGTTTTGGAATTCTAGCTTAAAGTTCTGTTGCTGTAGCTTTTGTTGCCAGTAAATGAAGCTAAATATGACAGTGTCAGCTGACCACTCATTTTTCTGCACGAAATAATATTTATTACATAATAATTAAATGAATGCACGCGCTCTGATCGGTCAATCAGCTATGGTTTATTGTGCCAGTAAACTCATGGAAATTTCGCGTGGTATAAAAGCAGTAGACCGCAAGTTTCTATGGTTTAGAGGCATGATAAGCCACGTGGGATGTTGAAAGAACACTCGAAGAATTCGTAAATCACAAATCTGCGGCTCGTGATTTACGAATTCTTGGAGTGTTCTTCCAACAACCCGCGTGGTTTATCAGCCTATTAACCATAAAAACTTGTGGTCTATTGCTTAAATAACTGATTGACTTACTATCGATATTTATCCTTTTGTGATTTATTGACTGATTGATTTCTATGTGTGTTGCTTCATTTATATTTAATTTATTTAGTATGTGCCTAGAATGACAAATTATTGGAAAATTAATACTTAATCTTGTTCTTTTTCGACTTATTCTCTGACAAATTTTAGTAAATATGTCCGCTTTATCGTAGAATTCGATTCAATTAGTTGTTTAGTGCGCCTCAATGCTGTACGTTGACTCCAAATTCCTTTACTAATCAAATCCGTATGTAAAGGAAGCGCTGGGTAGTTAAAACAGCAGGCTCAAGAACGTTCCTAGCACGAACGACAAGTCATTCGAAAGTATTACCAAACTCATTTTATATTATACTTTTTCTTTCTAGTAGTTGCCTACCCGATCGTATAATTAAGACTAGAATACGTCAACCCAATATATGGAATAGCACTAGCGATAAGCCTACAAGTACGCATTGCGGACCTTTATTAAACTTAAGTAAGAGACAATGAACACTTACGAAAATGATCACAGTAATAGCGTCATATAAAACTGGTTTCAAAGTTGTCTTTTCTCTTACCAGAACATAACATAATCTAAGTTAGGAACATAACTAGAACATAAGTCGGGAATATGTACACTCAGTGATATTGGTTGGTACGTCCCTAATGAGCATTAGTAGAATTCTACTAATATACTAATGCAAATGCTGCAATCTGATTGGCTGAGCTACTCGTATACTATCAGCCATTAGAGTGCAGTGGCTGTCGGTCGTCCACGAAATGCGACGTTTTTATCGTTTTTTCTGAAGTTTTGGAAGAAAGTTTAGATGTAAATGGATAATTAAATTCCTGAGAAGACTAAAAGAAGGACATTAACGGATTCTTGACTCTAAAAACTTGAAATTATTGAAAAAACGGGTGCGCGCGCGTAAACAACTGTAAATTTCCCAAGGACAATGAATGCGTGCGATTTTGTTGAAGCCTAAAGTTCAATAAAGCGTTGAAAAACAATTGGAAACCGTTATTTGCGTTAATTTCAGTTAGAATTCTACGTACTGAAGCAATTAGATTATTCGCTCTCGATTTCTATGAGGTGATAGTTGATGAGCCCTTCGGCCTCATCAACTATCACCTCATAAAAATCTCGAGCTCATAATCTAATTGTTGATTAGTCACTCCCTATTGAGTGAGTAATAAGTGATCCAAACAAAAGCAAAACGGCCGGAGGAAACTCGCGTTTTGGAACCAAACCTGGGGATAACAGGACCCATGTTTATCATGGTGAGAGTTTCACTTGTTACAGTTCAACAGACCCATTTTTTTTGGTCGGGAGAATAAAACTTTACATAGCTAAGTTATGCGCTCTTATTCATTTTTGAACAAAAGAAACACTGAAGATAACGATAAAAACTCCTTCTAACAGTAGCATAAACATGTTAAAAGCCTGCATGCCTGTCATATGCTAATTTGTTCCTGCTCCCAGCACGATCGCTCGTGTGATTGCTGAAAGTTTGGGACGTACCGTTTTGAATGTCTGAGAATTTTAAAAGCATCGAATAATTTACTTTAATTCATCAAGTGAGCGGCACTTCGCCGTAAAATAATAATAATAATAATAATAATAATAATAATAATAATAATAATAATAAACATAAACAACAAAACAAACCAAAATCAACAACAACAGCACTTCGCAAGCAAAATTGCAGCGATTACGAACCAGCTACATTAAGCGACTTTCAGCGAACCGAAGTTTTCTTGTTTAGCCATATGA